CGTCCATGCTTCTCCAAAGTCAGTCCATACTTGGTTAAGACTGCATCAAGGCCCATAGCCTTTTCTCGGTCCAATACTTCATGAATTAGGCCAATAAGCTCTCCAACAAGTCCTTTAGGCCGTGCCATGATCCATTGCCTAGATCCGTCCTGAGTTGACTTCATGTTCTTGAGAATGAAGCTGATCAGGGTCGCACCATGATCCCTGATATCACTGAGTTTAGAAGCTGTAGTCTACTCGTCTTCCTACAAAAGAATAGATGATGCCTTACTGTCCAAATGCCATTTTTTTACTTTATCTTTGTAGGCGGGGTTCACAATAAAGCAAAGAGAACTTCTTAGTGCTTAAGGGGAGACCAAGATATCGTATGGGAAGGAAACCCTGGTCAATTCCAGTCGTAGAGACAATGGAATTTTTATCTTCATCCAGCATTTGAATGAATAAACGAACATGCCTCTAATACCAAAAATATTCTTAGTTTTCATTCACGAAATGCGTGTAGATCGATAGTTCAGAAAGTATCGACATGAGAAATTGTTCAATCGATGCTTTAACTTTATTTTGAAAAAACAACGTACACACGATATAACTTATTAATAAAACAGCCTAGTCACCAAAGTACGTACTGATGAGATCTTTAACTTTGCGGCCAGATTAGACATTTGCATCACATGATCATGGGTTGGTTGACACCAGTCAATCCTTTGCGTAGTTAGCTCGTTTATGAGATTTTCAACAATTGACTTACAACCAACTCCGACTATAAACACTCCTTAAACTACTTAATAAATTACTTTTATTTCTCTGTCTTAGACATTGATGACTTGAAACCTCATAAGGTTCAAACTCAGTCTAGTAAATTACTCTCATCTTTTACACCGAGATTTTTCATTTTTTTTTGAGCTATCTTCTGTAATGGCTGAGGCCTCCACATCAATTACTATGGCAAAATCCAACGGCATTACATCCAATGTAAATCGGATCTTTTCGGATCAGTCGCCACAATTGAGCCCATTGAACCTTACGAAAGAGTTATCAAATGTAAATAGATTTGATGAAACTGCAAACTTTTATGCATGCTTACCTTTTATTGCCTTGAAACTTTACTACAAATTCTAGAACTAATATAAACTTTTACGTTTGTATTTAAGCAACCTTTGGGTAATACTTAAATACAAATACTTTCAGTGATGCTAAAATACACTTTAATGATTAATCATTTCAAACTCAAGTCAATTAGCACCCTACCTTTGGGTATAAATACTATCAACTCTAGTAAAAAAATGACTAATCATTTTCATATTATCAACTATATTCAATGGGTGATCTCCAAAAATATAGAAAATAAAATAATTGATCACTAAAACTTTAATGTCATTTAGCATCTCTCTAACCATGATCAATTATACTATTATTAATTTTAATATTTATAAGTAAATAATAAGGTCACTTTGGTGACTAACACGTTATATACTATATAAACATTAAAACACTAATAGGTAAATTTATCCTAATATTATGTTATATTTTATAACATATTTTCTATATTGTGTTAGTATTTCATAACACAAGTTACCTATTAATAAAATGCAGCGGAAGCATTTTAAACTAAATACACATACATGTAATATTAGAATAATATACATATATGTGTCCAATTGTCACAACTTTTGTTAGTGACGTTTCATGCATGTATGTAATAACCCTCAACACGTCCAGTATTTTAACCATAATGAACAATTATTTTACTCGTAATTATGAATTCATATACAAGGGGTGAATTATTTAACGTGTCATGATCCAAGGGATGTGAACGTATCACAACCCAAGGGGTGTGAACGTATCGGGATCCAAGGGATGCGAACATGACGTGATCCAAGGGATGTGAACGGGTCGTGACCGAAAGGGTGCGAATGGTTTGGGTCCGAAAGGGTGCGAATGTAAGAATATTGTATATTCTGTATGACCTATGTGTCTATTGGTTTAATATAAATTTCAAGTTCATATTAATGTTTTAGATTCTAATATAAAAGACGATATCGTGATGGATCGGTTTCGATAAAAGAATTAGAATATGGGTGTATTGATAACCCTCCTCTCTTACCTTGTTTAATTATAAATGGATTCTTCTATAATGGTTATATACATATGTGTTACAGTTGTGCTTCAATATATTAGTCACATATAAAATAGAGTTTATGCTTGTAAGAGTATTATAAAGGAAAAGGTATGACTAATGGAAAGGCACAACAACACATATAAATACTCAAGTTTGGTGGTGGTCACTATAAAAGGAGAGAAAAGACAAGAAATGCTATGTGTGTCTTGGTAATAAAATTATTACGCAAGAAACGTACTAGCCACCGTAAAGAAAACAAACATGATTAGAAGGGTTTGGATTCCTTTATTCATCAAAGGGAATCATAAAGGATTGAAGGCCAGAGGGAGGAGAAAATCAATTGGTGAGTTGATTCCAATAGCAAACCAAATTAAGCATGGATTAAGGTTGGTGTCTTTTTCTTCTTCTTAGAGAAATAGTCAGGGTTGAATTAAAACTAAATCTAGATTATGGTCTTGGGATAGATTTCATTATAGAAATCATAAAAGTTAATCTTGCATTTAATGTTTACTTTCTTAACAAGAGTACAACCCTTTCTTTTAGGACAATCCTACTTGAAGAGTCTCATTTTATTGCAAAAGAAACACTTCATTTCCTTTCGGATTTGACTTTTAAGTCATTTCAGAAAAATCTTGTCCTTTTTACTTGGGATTCTTTTGCTGCTAGCAACTTGATCCATATTAGAGAGATGCTAAATGACATTAAAGTTTTAGTGATCCATAATATTTTATTTTCTATATTTTTTGACGTGAAAAAGTCTCTTTATAACACCATAATAATAGTATCACAAAGAGAGATTAAGGAAGGTTTAAGGTTTCTTGTCCATCAAAGAAAACACTAAAGAGAAGGTTAAAGGGGAGAAAATCAATTGATGAATTGATTTCATTTTATCATCATTAAGCATGAATTAAAGGTCAGTGTCTCTTTCTTCTTCTCTAGAAAATATTAGGGTTGAATTAAGATAAATCTAGTTTGGTCTTGGGTAGATTTCATTATAGAAATTATTAAAGTGAATCTTACATTTGGTATCAGAACCATTCTAAATTTAAGTAATTCACTGTAATAAATTTTCAAGTTCATAAACATACACGGATGAAACCGTTTTAAAGAGTGTTTATGAGGCTTGAGTAATCCATTTAACGTACGGCATCATGATTCTTAAACTTATAGTAATCATTTAAGTATGCTTTCATGATCACGTACGGCATCGTAATTGTACGGTAGTGTGCTTAAGATTTACGAAAATTATGCCATCACGAAAAAAATGTTGTGTGTAAGCGTGGCTTAATTTCCAAACATGAAATAGTGTTAATGATTAATTACGTAAAGGCACGTCATTTTTAATTAACCGACGCATACGGAACCACTTGAACAAATCACTTCTACATGAATTCTGTAATGGTTTAAGGAACAGAGTTCAATAGTGAGGAAATTAAAAAACTGCTGAATCATAAATCCTCTACGATTATTGTTGTTCTCTATATCTCTGGAAAAGTTGCCATTAAGAATTGTGATTGTGGGAAGGTTCATATAAAATAAATGAACTGTTTAAGTTATAAAAGGACACGACAGGTTCATATCTGTGCATAAAATTTTTAGTTATTTAATAGTGTTAACGTGAAATCTGGGTTTTACGTAACAGAACGTAAGACATATGTATGATTAAAGGATTTTGTGTAATGCTGTTACAAAAGGATGGGTTAGAATTAATTATTTTACTTAATTAGTTGGCAACTTAAATTGCTGGTTACTTGAATTCATAAATAACCAGCAATTTATGTTGCCAACTAATTAAGTAAAATAATTAATTATAACTCATCCTTTTGTAACAGCACTACACAAAATCCTTTAATCATGCATATGTCTTATGTTCTGTTACGTGAAACCCAGATTTCATGTTGACACTATTAAACAACTAAAAATTTAATGCACAGATATGAACCTGTCGTGTCCTTTTATAACTTAAACAGTAGGTAAAGTAGAAGGGTTATCAATACACCCATATTCTAATTCTTTTATCGAAACCAATCCATCACAGTATCGTCTTTTGTATTAGAATCTAAAACATTAGTATGAACTTGAAATTTATATTAAACCAATAGACACATAGGTCATACATAATATAAAATATTCTTACAATATAAAATATTCTTAGAATGTAAAATATTCTTACACGTACAACATCAAACTAACAAAGAAACCCACACCAAACAAAGTGTATCATCACACAAAACATAATTTGACAATGACGAGACGAGTTCACATCCGATTTATAAAACCGATGCTATGTATACATAGAGCGTGGACTTGTAGTCACATCGCCTTTTATTCTTCACACAAGCTTCCAAAGCTTTTCATATCATTACATTTTTATGAATTATACAATAACAGTAACAAGTCTTTCACTTATCGACGGAAGCTCCTAACCTGACGTGGCGGGTCAGTCACGTTATCGTTAAGCTTGACACCTGTGTACACGGCTGCTCCAGATATGGCACCAAGTGTAGGAGCTACCAGGTAAACCCAAAGAGACCTGTAGTTTCCTGATGCAAGGGCTGGTCCTAGAGTCCTAACGGGATTCATTGATGCACCACTCGATGGCCTGTAAAATTTTCAAATGTTTTTAGAAACACTTTGGTTCAAAAGTTAACAAAAAAAATAATTTTGGTTCAATGATTCTGGAAAACTATGAAGCTTAAAATCCTTTGATTTAGACTTACCCTGCGACAAGAATGTTGAGCATGACAGTGGCTCCAACAGCTATACCAGCTAATTCTCCAACCTACGCATCAAACCCAGTCAAGAAAAGAGAATACAATTAGATTAGCTACATAAATGACAATCACTGGTTAATCTGATAGGCATCGATTTTGGTTGATAATTACGTTTACATGTTCTAATTAAACTTGACTGACGAACAGGGTTCCAATTATATTATTTTTCCTACAAGGTTTCATAGGATGCGTTAGAAATCGGAAACCAATTTTGTCTCCTATTATAATTATTTTTCTTATAAATATAACCACAACTTTGAATGTTAGTAATAATCAAGAAACAATTAAGCGGTTAGCAATTGATGACCCAACATTTTACCCAAAAAAAAAAAATTTGATGACCCAACACATAATAAACGTTCAATCTGAGGCCTAAATTACTATTATAAGCATCTTATTTAAGAACATCTCCAAAAGACACTCTATAACACCAAATATAGAGTTTTTTACTCTTAAAAAAAAAATTTCAAAACTTCAAATTTAAAATTTTGAGGAGTGAAACTTCATATTTGAAGTTTCAATCCTCAAAACTTCAAATTTAAAATTTCATTTTTTTTATTTGCATTTTGATCCTTACAATTAATTATATATTATATTTATGATTTTCAGTATTTTCTCATTTAACATTTAATCCATAAAATTTTTATATTTTATAAATATTTCAGATTTGTTTTTATAAACTTAAGTTTTATACACAAAACTTTAAAATATGATTTATATTATTTTAAAACTAAAACTAGACTTCACAAATATTACAAAAGAAACTTTTTAAAAGGTGAATGAAAACATAGTTATTACATAAATTTAAATATTACAATAGCATTAATAGTATGGTAAATTTGCTCTGAAACCTTCAAAATCTCCGAAATATTGTCCAAATAAGTATTGTGTAATTGAAAATGGAGCATTATGGAAATAATTTGGGAAATTGCCAAAAATAACAATTTCAACATACTACTTTTCAACTTTACACTAACCAACTTTACCATTAAAATTTTAATAGTCAAAATACTATTAGAATTTATGGTTTAGGGTTTACTTTTTAGGACCTAGAGTTTAGAATTGATGTTCTAGGATTTAGGGTTAATATTTTATTTAATATTTGTTTTATGTATATATATAAAGAACAAGGATATAAGAGTCTTTTATCCTTTAATAAAATGTGTATTTTTGAAAATGTTCCTTTGTTGATGGTAAACATGAAAAGTGGTACCAACAAAGTGGTATAATTGAAATTCTCCCAAATAATTTTATGAAATAGTGTGATATTTTGTTTGTAGTTTATTATTTAGTCATGTATTTCTATTTACAATTTTATATTTTAGAGTAAATATTTTTAATTAATATTATTATTATGTTTTTTCATATATGTGCTAGTTATTTATAAAAAGTTATGAATTCATATTAATTATGACAAATATAAGGACCATATAATAAAATATAAATGGTTTTAAAATTAGATTTGAAATTTTGCTTTTGAAGAAGTACACATTGAAACTTTAAAAATAGAGTTTTGCAAACTCTAAAATAGAGTGTCTTTTTGGAAATGATCTAATAAAGTTGATTTTTTTTTTCCTTTATAGGGGGAAAAATGCGATGTCACACATTTTTGTGATTTTTCTTAGATTGAACAATTCATTTTTATTTTTATGGGTTGGTGCATCTATATTTTATTTTCTTTGCTGGTACATTAAAATGTATTATAGACATTCAATTATTTCTTATGTAATGGAAATCACTAGAAAATAATATAACAACAAATTTAAAACATGGAAATTATACAAACAATTTGATATACTTTTAAGAAACACAGAAACAATCAAATTTTAATATATAATAAGAGCAATCAAATTATAGTACGTAAAGTAACTTCCCAGTATATATTAACTTGGTAACTAAAAGAGACTATAATCCTAACGTGTTTAATAATATTTGAAAAACACCATAACATATTAGGCACACATATTTTCTTGATTCTAACGGTGCTCATTTGGAAAACAATTGGAGCATAACTATAACTTAATAAAATATGTATTATATAGATTAAATACACAATATCTGTAAAACAAAATTGGGCGTAGCAAAAAAAATTAAAACATAACCAGAATTATATTAAATTAATAAAATATCACCTCCCAAGTATCGTCTTATTATGTTGATCTAAAATATTAAAGTAACTTTTAAGTTTTCATAATTTTAATGTATACAAAATTGAAGCAAGAGTTTATGTGAAACTATATGTTCTGCCAATGGTATACGTAAAATATGTATCATATTTTCATATTAAATCACTTATCATGTTTTGTAAAAATTAGGTTTTGTCAATTTAAATAAGAAAAATATGCTTTATATTTTCCTATTGGTTCTAAAATAGTTCTCTTGATGTTATTGAATTATAATAGTTCACTAAAGTAGGTGATTATAGTATTGTAATAATAATTTTTTTGGTTTGGGCTCCATTAAAAATTTAGTTTCACAAAATAAACCATCCACCTTGAGATGTTGATGTCGATTATCCATGTGTATATTTTTAAAAATATAAAATATATCTTATTATTATAAACTCTTTTCAATGTAACATATTATAATAAGAAGGTAAAAAAAACTCTTAAGTAAATATTTAATAATTATTATGCATATAATTATAATTTAATTTATTTTGGAATCAGCATAAAATCAAGTATGCTGACATGACAATCAAATTTATATATATTCATGTCTTTGATAAATAGCTTATTTTCTATGAAACCATGGAAATATATTTTAAATTTATAAAATAACATAGAATGTATATTAATTAAAAACCAAACCATATATTTAAATTATATATCAAATAACTAAATAATGTTAGAAAATTGGCGCTACAATAAAGTAGTATAAAACATCATAATTTGTAGATATTTAACTTATATTATATTATCAACGTAAAATTTTATAACATAATATTAAAACTATAATTTATAAAATAATAAATTTTATATTATATTAATATTCTAATTTTCAGAAGGTTTAAAAATTATTTTAAATTATGTAGCCTTTAGGAGCGGGTGCTTAAAACACTTTTTACAAAACTGGTTTTGAATAAAAGATTTTGGAATTTGTAGTCTTGTAGAGTCAAAAACCAAAAGGCCTAAGGACATTAGTACAAAAGCGTTACGAATTATCTATTTTGGAACTCAACTTACTCAAAGAGTTACTATTATTTATATTCCTTCTTTTCTTTAAACCAAAAACTAGATTTTGATCCGCGCTTGAAAGCGCGGAAATTTTTTGTGATTAAAAATTTATATAATTTAAAGAATGTTTTGGTATAAAATCAGTTCACCAAAATTTGTGATGATTATTGTTTTTCATTAGTTTTTAGTTTCAGTTTTTATTTTTAGATTTTGGTTTTTAGTTTTTAAGTTTCTACTTTTGATTTTCAGCTTTTGGTTTGTGTTTTTAATTTTTAGACCCGTTGAGTTAGTTTGAACTGATATTACCAACAAACAAATCACAAATAATTGAACATCTAATTTAAAACTGAAAAGATGACAAAAAATATGCAATAGTTTATTTTGTAAATAAACAAAAGCAAAAAATATATAACTTGTATTTTCAGCTTTTGGTTTTGCTTTACATTTTTTTAAATCAGTAAATTATTTAAGAAAAATAAAACAATAAATTATTTAAAAGTTACCATTGAAATTTATCAAAATAAAGTGATTGTTATTTAAAATAAAAAATACATTAACATGTTTTAAAGTACATGATTTAAATAAATGATTAATAATAGATAATTTTGTTTTGTTAAAAATATTAAATACCTTTTGGGCCTAAAAATAATAATTGATTTTTTTATCTATTAAGGTGTAAAGTTTATTCAATGTTTTTGGAGTTTTTTCTTAATACTAAGCCCAAAAACCAAACTATATAATTTGTTTAAAAAACAAAAGTAAGCCCACGACTATATCCCATAAATAACCATCGGTTTAATTTAAGTAATCTGGTTTAATTAATTATATTGCTTGTGTTACATATTTGTAACACTCTAGAAAGGGTCCAAATTTAAATGACAACTTGTATCAGTAGATAAAAAGAATGACTCTGTTTTAATATAGTAGATGCAGCTAGAGGTGGGCGTTCGGGTACCCGTTCGGATTCGGGTCGGGTATTTCGGGTTTTTGGGTATTTCGGTATTGGGGTTTAGAACCCGTTCGGGTATTTTTACATATCAGGTCGGGTTCAGATATTTTTAGTTCGGGTTCGGTTATTTCGGGTCGGGTTCGGATATTTAGATTTTAAAAGAAAAATTTCAAATTCTTTATTACATAAGTTTCATGTATTTGAAATTTGACTATTAACTTAACTGTTTTTAAAATGTTTAATAAGTTAGACGATTAATAAGTTTGAAAATAAATTATTGAAAATAAAAATCATTATTTTGNAAATTTGACTATTAACTTAACTGTTTTTAAAATGTTTAATAAGTTAGACGATTAATAAGTTTGAAAATAAATTATTGAAAATAAAAATCATTATTTTGGTTGTTATTTTCGAATTTTGGATTCAAATTTTGTTTAAAATATGAAATAAGAAGCTTAATATGCATTTTAAATGAGTAACAAATCATTTTTTTACAATTATCTATATATTATCTAATCTTAAACTATATATAAAATTAATATAAATATTTTTAATAAAATGAGACAAATAAACTAAGAATAAATAGGTATATATACATATGTTCGGTTTTCTTCGGATATTCGTTCGGGTTCGGGTATTACCCGTTCGGGTTCGGATATCCAAACTCTCCTAATTCAATACCTGTTCAGGTATTTTGCTACTTCGGTTCGGATTTTGGTTCGGATATTTCGGGTTGGGTTCGGGTACGAGTTCGGGTAGCGGATAAAGTGCCCACCCCTAGATGCAGCTGTATATAATATGTTGTGATATATAGAATTGAGAAGAGAAAGAGAGACTTACGGCACGAGTATCGGTGGCAACGGCAGTAACAACAAAGAGGAGAATGAAACTGATGATAAACTCAAGAGCGAAGGCTTGTCCAACACTAACAGACGGAACAGTCACACCTCCGGACATGAAAGGATGGAAAACTCCTTTGAGTGCGAATGAAGCGCATATGGAAGCTGAGACTTGGGCCGCTATGTAAGCAGGTACGTGGGCCCAAGGAAAGTGCCTTAGAGCTGCGAATGCTATGGTCAATGATGGATTTAAGTGAGCCCCTGATATGTGACCGGTTGAGAGAATAATGATCATCACTGCCAGTCCTGCGCATGCGGCGTTACCGATTAGGGTTTCAGCTCCGTCGTATTTCTGGTTCACAATTGGACCGGCTGTGGCTGTGAATATCAAGATGAATGTTCCTACGAACTCAGCCCCAAGCTACATCATACACACAGACACAAGTTAGGAATTAACAATTGAAAATAGGAAACAGATCTAGGCAAGATCGCGAGAGTGAGAGATTTCTTGTGTAATAAGAGAAGATACGTATTTTTCTTGAGAATGAAGATTCTTTTTCTATATATAGTTTGCTTTTTTTTTTTTTGTATCTATGAAAACTAGTGTATATTATAGTGAAGTCAATACAAAGAAATTATATTTCTATCTTCAGGATGATCGATCGAAGTTTATATCAAAGAAGACTCACATAAAGTAATCATGTTACTAGCCAAATTTTCTAGTTTCACGAAACTACTCGAAAACGTAAAGATGAGTAAATATTTGGACTAATATCTCTTTAAAATTATTTGAGAAATCAGTTTATGTATCGTTATCAGTTTAATTCTTATAATTATCAACTATGTAATAATCCGCGACATGCACAGAGTGAAATATAATTTTGAATTATTATCATATTTTACATATATTAAATTACATTTCCATGAAATAAGATATATTTGCCTTTAATTATATAATTATTTCGTGAATTTTCTATAATATTAAATATTTACATTTAATATTTTGCAGGGAAAGAAGATTTTCTCACTAATTAATTTTATTAAAATTAGCGTAGGTTTTACATATCTTTGATTAAATCTAAACAATTTTAAAACTTCCGTGCATTGTGTGGAATGAAAATTGTATATATAAATTATTTACGTATTATTATTATTATTATTATTATTATTATTATTATTATTATTATTATTATTATTATTATTATTATTATTATTATTATTTTATTATTTTTGGAAAAACTAACTTATAGTATAGTATGTGGTCACATATTTTTTTTTTGTATTTTTTTTCAACGATGACCTATGATAAAACTTGATATATATATATATACACCAAATATACTCACAAAATTTTCTATTTCTTATTTTGTAGTTATAAGATATAATTAACAAAATTACATTGGCTTATATGATATACTCAATAAAAATAATATTTGATTTTTGAACTTCATGACAATTATCACAATATTTTGAATTTTCCCGTAATTGTTACAATAATCAATGAGAATTTCGAATAATTCAAATTTACTCAAATTAATTAATTGATTGAAGTTAACTTTTGTACATATTTAACACTCCATTACTACATTCTTTTACTTTATCACTTATTTCTTTGAATTTTAAAACTATCAATATCTATCTAAAATAACCCGAGACCAACCATAAACGTAACATTTGTATTTTTGATGATGTGTGGCTATATGTATGAATATTTGAATACATATGTAATATGTTAAGACTTCGACCAAAACTTTATATGAACATCTATATGAAAATGAAGAATCTTAAATGTTTTGTGGTTGTTTATGTGATGGATTGCAATTCTATGAATCAGTGAAGTAGTTCATTTGTATATTGACATGAACATCTATATGAAAATGTGTATATCCAGAACAGAGTGAGATTAAATATTCAGTAAACTTAGCTCCTCTATTATGCAAAGCAGTTGATAAATTTGGTTAATAAAATTGTGGAGACACCATTCACTTGTATTTTTTTGTGAATGATATTTAAAATGTATTATTACGTATTTTATATAATTATTAATTCAAATAATTTATAGGTACGGTTTTTCATAGTTCACATACACTTATGTGTTTCAATATTTAAATGAAAATTCATTGGTTTGATTCTATAAACAGGTTATTAATAACACACTGTAACATTACATCCTATAAAAACATAGGTGCAATGACATTGAATTGTAAATACTCTAATAAATTATGTCTGTTTTTATAAATAGACTAAAAGGACTTGTGAGGCTACCACATAAGTAATGATAATTTTGTTAATCACACATGAGGGCAATGTTATTTTTCTAAAATGCTCCTAATATATTTATAATCTTACATAAAATTCAGTTTCATAAGTGTCATTCTCACGGTAATTTTTACACTAATCAATTACAAAATAATCTTAATGAATGAAGAGTTATACACAATTTTCAATACTAAAAAATCTTTTTTTTTTCTTTTTTTTTTCTTACCAAAATTTTAATTAATTTTAAATTTTAGTTTAGTTTTGTTTTTCATTTTCCTTTTAGTTTTACAAACTTACATAAATAATAAAAATTAGTTATGATTGTTTTTACATATATCTTTATAATATTATTGAGAAGTCAATTTCATATATTTGTTGTCAGGTTAATTTATACATGGCCAATTACAAATCTCTATAATTATTTGAGAAATTAGTTTCATACATGTCTTTGTCAAGTTAGTTCTTACAATAGTCAATTATAAAGTTGAACCATAATGAATCAAAAGTTATACGTAATTGCTATTACTAAAAAATGTTTTTTGCTTAATAAATTTCTTATGAGGTTCTTAATGTTGTTTTTCTATTTACTTTTACGAAACTTACACAAATAATAAAAATGAATATGTAGATTACGTATACAACAGAATTTTTATTTTTTACTTCATATATTTATAAAACAACATAAATAAAAAAAAAAATATCTTTTTTACCAACAAACAGAAATATTTACATTTAGAATATAAAGACTGACAATTACAAATTTCCATAATATTATTTGAGAAGTTAAGATTTCATACATGTCACTGTCAAGTTAATTCTTACAATAGTCAATTATAAAGTTAACTTTAATGACTTAAGAGTATCATACATAATTGCTATTACTAAACATTTTTGCTTAATAAATTCTAATTAGGTCCAAATGTTTTTACAAAAATTACATAAATAATAAAAGTAAATATTTATAAAAATATAGATTACTTATATTTTTACAAAAACATAAATAAAAAGGAAATATTTAAATTTTAAAAGAAAATAATATATTTTTTAAATATAAAATTTAAAACCAAAATAAATGCAACGAAAATAATAATCAGTTTTTAACCTAGCAAAAACAATAGTTGCGGTTCATTTGAGACGGATATACCTAATTCAATACTAACAAAATGAGTTAGTTAATCAATCAATATTCATGTATTCAAAATCAGTTATTGGTTAATGACGAAAAGACAGGAGCAGTGATTTGCGTTCAAGAAAAAAAATGAATTCAAAAAAGTTCCATACGTTGGGCAGACAATAAAACGCTCACAAAAATAAATGAATGCGTATTTTGGTAATTTTTTTATGAACGAATGTTAAGACTGTAACATAAAAACGAAAACAAAAGTTGATCTAGTAAATAACTGATTTGTATCCGTCATTAAACAACCACTAATCTAAATACTTTTTGTTCGCGTTTTATATTTATGCAACCTTTTCTTTTTTTTTTTTTGAAAAAGCTATATTTATGCAACTTGCGTGTGCTCAATCATTAAAAAACTTGCGATGGTTAAATAGACCAATTCTAAGCCATCCAGTCGAGACTACTACGATTTACTCTTTTGTGAGTTTTGCCCTAACAAAATAATATTCTAACATATATATTTATGAGTAATTCTTGTGTTCACCCCCTAATAGAATTTCATTGTTTTATATTCAGTATCTTTTTAAAAAGGAAATAAAATATTATTGAGTTATATTATATTTTCAAAATAAAAAAATAAAAGAAAATAAAAAATAATATTAGTTGCAAACAAAAAACTTTTGTAAAATAATATTTTAACACTGTGAGCAAACACACTAAATCCTAAACTCTAATCATAAACCCTAAATCCTTGGGTAAACTCTAAACCCCTGGATTAATCATAAATCTTATGGTTTAAGATTAATCATAAATCTTATGGTTTAAGATTAATCCAAGGATTGAGGATTTATCCAATGGTTTATGATTTAGGATTTAGTGTTTTGCTGGGGTGATAAAAATATTTTCTTAAAAACGGTTTTTATTTATAACTACTAGTATTTTTTACTTATTTTTATTTTTTAATTTTGAAAATATAATATAATTCGATAATATTTTGTTTCCTTTTCTAAAAGATACAGAATATAAAACAATAAAATCCTATTGATTAGTGAACCTAGAGGTTTATCCTAAGGGGTGAACCCAAGAATTTTTCTATAATTATAGAATCCAGAAATTAAAAAATGACGGGATGTCAAAACAATATTCTAATATATACTAATAATTAGGCAAAAAAAACATATACTAATAATTATAGTATCCAGAAATTTAAATATGACGGGAGCCGACATGCATTGAATAATTTAAATTGAGTTGGATTTATACAGTATTATTTATCTTTGTTTTTAGATTTTTTTCACACTCCCTTCATTTGCCAGTTTCATTTAATTTTCGGTAGAGATTACTTCTTCGTGTCGTGTATAATCTCTCCAAGTGTGACGTAAACCCATATAATCTTTTTAATATAAATAATAGGTTAAAAAATAAAGAAATATAATTTTTGGTGACAATCATTACAATTTCAGAGCTTACAAAAACTATCCAAACATAAATGTACGACGAATTGTGACTTTGTGAGTATCCTTATACTACATTGTATATAGACAGGGCTGGCCCTCGACTAAGGTCCATAAAACAAGAGGTTTAAACGCCAGGGATTATATACTATTTATGGGCGCAATTTAACAGAGATTTTACTTTAGTCTAGTGGCTAGTATTCTTGATTATTTGACATGTTGTCTATGGTTCAAAGCTACCAACTTATCTTCTTTTTATAACAATTTCCATTTTCTGAAATTAAAACAGGTCAAGATTTGATTCATTGAAAAATACAGACAATTTTGATAACTCTGATAACTCTAGTTTCTTTTTGTTTGTTTGTTTATGTTTCTTTCTCAATAACCAATTTCTCATCACGTTTCATTGTGGTTGATGTTCTACTATATAGTTGTTTCTTTTTTGTGTTATAAGTTCTTGTGATTTTTTTAAGAAACTTTAGAATCAAACACGTTAAAATTGATATAGAGATAACGAACGTTTGATTTAGAGCTCAAGTACGGATTTGATCATAAGTTGGTTATATTTTATAATTTATAAGTTGGTTATATTTTATAAATTAGCATTCGCGTAAAAATGCTATTAGAACATGGAACTAGAATTATAAAATGTTTTCAAATCCAGTTACAAGGGATGTAGAGATGACGGAACTGAAAAAAAGTTTTTCTTTTATCTAAACATATATGTTTCTATCTAATAATTCCGATAAAAGTTATTTCTGCATAAATAAAATTTAAGTTTAATTTTTTAAAAATAAAATATTTTTTATTGATATTTCATAAGTGATTAATTATATTTGTCTTAATAACATATATTATAATTTTTGGTATACTTTTATTATATAATATTTTTGATAAAATTTGAAGGGCATCATCTTTTGAATCCGTTTTAGACGTCAATGAAGTCCGGACCAGCACTGTATATAGATTTGTGATAAACTAATAAATAATGTCTCTGTCTAATTATCTTTCACCAAATGACCTAATTATTAATTAATTTCCCATCGTGTATATTTCTAGGTTTTCACATAATCGGAACAAAAAAATTTGGAGATATATATATACTTTCTTAGAATAAAATAGAAAAGGAGAGTGACGTACCTTGCGAGTGAGGGAGACACCAGGAGAGGGAAAATCGGTGAAGCACGTGTCGTTTTGAACCATCACCGGCAAACATTTGCATGGAGGCATCGATTTCCGATGATCGAACGACATTGAATCCACTCTCATCCCCGTGATCAACGGTCCTCCCGGCGTTCCTGGCGTCGGAGGAGCCGTCACCGCCACCGCACCCATCTCATTCTCCGGAGGAGACATCCTAAACTTTTTAGGTTTTTACTTTTGCTTTTTTATACCTTTTTGTATTTTTTTTTGAAGAAAAACACTAATTTTTTTTTGCTTTTTTTTTTTGTAGGATGGAGACAAATTTGATAGAGAAGGATTTTTACATGATTTGAAGTTTTTATAAATTTTGGTTTACACTTGTGCTTTAAACTTTGCCAGGACTAGATTCACCAAAAACAAATTGAAACAGAGAGACACCAATGAATGAAAACCTTATCTATCGATTAAATATTTTTTTTTTGAAGGACAAGAAAATGGATCTGGGACGCTAATTTACATGCTTTTAAGGATTTTTATAAAGCTGTTACTACGTAAGAAGAAGGATATGCACGAAGATAGCCACCTCAAAAAAACCGAATCTTATAAAAAGCAGAGACGACAGACACATATGGATGCGTACGTTAGCACTGAACAGAGACTAATCCTCGGATCTGTGGTTCTGAAAGAAAAGAGAGAGAGAGATGTTGGATGAAAAGGATGATGAAAGGTTTAGTTAATGTTTGAACTTAAGTTATATATATATATATATATGTGTGTGTGTTTGTGTTTATATAGAAAAGAGATTGTTGTGAATTGAATCCAAAAAGATTAATAATAAAAAGTCAACTCCAATATCTTCTTACGATTTTGATAATTTGCTAGAGTCACCGGTGCCTTTGTCACCGGCATCTTCATTACCGTTCGATCTAAGCAATATATTGAGGTTAGGAACTGCACATGGCCGTGACGGTATCACTGATCATTCGCCAACCCACGACCCTCCAATAATTGAATAGAAAATTGTTCTTAACTCTAGGGAAGAGCGTTTGATTCTTGGAACAATTTTTAAAGAGAACAAAAAATATATAAAATTAATGCTTTTCTTTTCTGTTATACCATATGATTATAAGGCGGGTTATCAGTGAAAGTGAGAATGCAAGAATGTAGAAACGAAATTAAGCTTTTTAAACCAATTTATTTGATATATCAAGTGGATATATATTGTGTGATGCAGTTAAACGCGTGTGAAGGATAACATTTATAATACTGAAAAAGTCGTTGAAGAATGCAAATTCAAGATAATATTTATTTGTGAATAGTTACGGTTGCAAATATATTTAAGGTAAAATCTTGTTCCGAGTAAAGACATAAATAAATTTCACTGAAGATGTCATCTTATGTGGCAGATTATCTCTGGGCAGGTTACTGTTACAAACGCTTTGAATCATAGACACATAAGATGTGATAACTTCTGCCCAAGATGTGGAGAACCAGATGAAACAATTGCACATGCAATTTTTCAATGCCCTCCGGCTTTACAGGTATGGGCCTTATCGTCTATACCCACCTGTCCAGCTTTTTTCCCTCTGGAGAGCACTTATTCGAATATGGACTACCTGTTTTGGCGGAAGAAGATCATTTATGGGGCAGACTTTGACAAAGATTCTTATCCTTGGATTATATGGTATATTTGGAAGGCTAGGAATGATAAGCTATTTAGGGGAATAGATAGAGACCCTCTGGAATTGGCTCGCTATGCTGAGAGTGAGTGTCTTGCCTGGTTCCAAGCTAATGAGCAAGAAGCCGTAAGTACACATGAGAACGGGGACAATGACAGCCAGGCCATAAGCCTGCGAGATATATGTATGATAGACGGTTTCTTGGACCTCTATGGATCAATTCTCTGGGTGCGGTTGGGACTGGAAGTACAGCAAAGGAAATAGCCAGTTGATGGGAATGCGCAATATGAGTAAAGTTGAGTCAGCTTTGCATTCGGAGCTGGAAGCGCTGCGGTGGGCAATAGAGAACATGCTTCAACATTCGCCATGTCAGAGCTTTGGGACGGACTGCAAAGAATTGGTAGCAATGCTCATGAATCCTCAGGGATGGCCAAGATTTTCGACGGAACTGGAGAGGATTTCGACATTAAAGTTTTGTTTCCCAGAATTTAAAATCTCTTATGTTCCTCGATCTCAAAATGCTGTGTCTGATCACCTAGCTAAGACTGCCAGATCCTTCTATCGTGATCTTTTGTTTGTTGGTTGTTCTATTCCGGTCTGGATTCCCAGACCACCTCAAGCTTGAGTAATAGATCAGCCTTTCGTTGTCAAAAGAAAAAAAAAAAGACATAAATTTGTGTAATAGTAAATCCAAATAAACCAATTATGCTATTTGACAAACATTAAAAACAAAGAAAACAGCATTAGGGGAAAAACAGTTATCAGGGATGGAGAAGGCGATAGGGAGAGTGATTGTTTCAAACTCCTTTTTCTCTGCATTTTTCATCCAAAAGTGTGACTTCATCATCAAGATACGTGTTTGATTCCATAATGGCATCTCTAGTTTCTTTTTTGAACCAATTCCTTTCTGATTTTTGAAAAATCGTATGGATACCACAATAGAACAACTTGAGCAAATCCAAGAAAACTAACTTGCTTTATTAAGAATCACTTAAACAATCTCATAAGATCTGTTTAATCCGGTTTACTCAACGTCACAGCTTGACTTGAGACGGACCAATTCTTAATCTACCCAATGCACTGTGGTCGAGACAGACCTCACCACTTGCTTACACAGAATCGCAGCTTAGCATACTGAAGCTCGATAATACCCAAAAATCCCAAAAGCCGTAACCTAACCAAATGAACTCTATCACCAATATATACCCAAACGTATCCTATTGTGATAAGTAAGATCTTCCCAATATCTCCTCTTTTGTTGCCTAACAAACATCCTAGAATCTTGGGTCATTATCTTCTGAAACGACTTCCTTGTATTTCGCTCCTGGTGTAACACACGCTCCACGTTGTGTGACACCTCAGTCTTTACGCTCAAACACACTTGAGCTCACTTGTGTGTAACACTGTCTCCTGTCCGTGTAACACCCCAATCATCATGCTCAGAATCTTGAGCTTACATTCTCCCCCTTTTTATCTTAATGTGACATCTCAAGCACCTGTCATGAAACATCCACACCAAAACATACGACCAGCAAAGCAATTGCACAGAGACAATCAAAGTAAACCAGAAATCAAATGCATTCATTGATAAAGTCTAGATCATCCAAGATTACACATCACTTAGTACCAGAAAGGTCAACTTAGTTCCAGAAGGTTCAACTACACACGAAACATGAGAAAGCAAATAAAACAAACATCAAGCAACTATCTAGCAATCCTACTCCTCCTCCTCATCATCATCGCTATCAATGATATGCATTGGCTCCACTCCAACATACTCTCCCCCTGCTTGAGTGCACCATTAGATAAAACAGTTGTGAAAAAGAATTTGCAAACAAGTAGAACAAAAACACTTACTTCGCCTGCGAAGCTGGATTGCACGGAGATCATTGATGACCTTCTGAAGATCGTCAACCAGATTAGGTGGTTTGGCAACTCACCCTATTCCTCTGCCAGCTTTCCTGTCCTTGACAAGAGCAACGGGATGCCCAGTAAGTTCTTCATCAAGTTCACGACGAGGTACAATTCGCTGAAAATTCAGGAGTTGCGAGATGAGAGAAGGAAACCCAATTCTCCTCTTAATGTCGTCAGCAGAGTGCGCCATCTCCAAGAGCTGGTCATACACCAGGATGCCAAAATCAGCTCTCTTGTTGTGATGGCAAGAATAGAGAAACCTGAGGCGATCCGGATGCATGCGCGTGTTATTCATTGTGGGCATCCAATTGGTACAGCAGAGCTTGTACAACACTTGATTGTCAGCTGTGAGGAGTTTCGAACACATTCCTTCCCACCTTTGATGACGTCCGTCGGTAAGAAATGTAACCACTGTGTCCAGATTTTCGGAGTACATGTCATAGGATGGTTCACCTAGACTGAGAACGCTCATGAGATCGATGATGCTAGGTGACACCTCATACATTTCTCCACGAACATAGATTGCAATACCTCCTTGAATATCCCTTGCATCTGCTAAGTTCGCCATGAATTCCCAAATCAAATCGGGAACATAGGGTTCGACATCTATAGCTGTGTAAATCATCCCTGAGTGAACCAGCACTTCCTTCACAGCCTGTAGCTTTTCAACATCAAGAGGGAGAAAATGAGGAGTGATGAACTTCTTGTCTGAGAACTTCAAATACCTACAATACCCGGCTTCAGTCACAAATCGTGAGCTGTAGGGATCAGTCGGAGGTTCGAACCACTCAGGGTTTTGAGACACGGTTTCCGCAAAAGTCCGACGGCCTTCCTCATATCTCGGTTCTTTGGGCAGGAAGGAGATTGCTTCACATGATCGGCGCCTGCTTGATTCACCAGCTTCAGAGCGAGGTCTCTTCTAAGGAGTGCCAGAGCTTGGATCGGAGGAAGGGGTTTGTGGAGAGGCGGAGGCTCCTTGACGAGAGCGAGTTCGTTGATGCATGTCGAGATAGATGAGAGTAGAGAGAGGGTACGGCGGCGATATGACCTAAGAAGGACCAAGAGACAAAAACACAAATATACACTTTTGGCAAGGCCCATTAGTGCATTAGTGACTTGGAGAAATTAAAGACCAACACAACAGGCCCATTAGTCCTTTCAATCGAGTTTCTTCTAGTCATATTAGTTCCCATGAGAGACACTCTAAGCAAGACACATTTGACCGGTCATTGAGATCTTCTAGTCTTAATCGAACATGCCTATTCTAAGAATCAACTTTATTATAGCACTAAGACTTGCAAAATAATCTATTTTCATGCTCTTAACTACTGTTCCAAGAAGATTGCAAGTTCACATCTAGTCTCACACATGTCTAGGTAACCATCGAAAACAATCGAATATAAATCAATATAGTAACTTCAATCTGTAGCTATTTCTCAGCTGAGTAGCTGTCACAAACGGATTCATCTAGCTAGAGAATCAAGCTCCTATCTCACAAGTTAATCACAATCACACACTTCTGAAACCACCAGTCATGTCTATTGATGTTCACCTCTGCAACTTCAGTGAATCTTTTCATCAGCATTCATTTTTTTTTAATTATTTTTTAATTATTTTTAT